GGGGGTGGGGGGGACTTCAAGCCCAGAAGTGAAGGAGAAGGGGAAGGCTTTCACCCAACAGGGGAATTGGTGATCTGGTCCTTACCCACTACCTGAAATAATCAAACACCTTTTTAAGACTGCTTTGCATTTTCACAAGGCTATGCCTTTGGTTTTCTGCAACTCTGCATTTCAATGAACTTGTTAAAGTTTCTATTAGTAGATCCTGTTCTGGTATGTGGTGCATTCATTCCTGGGGCTAAAACAGAGGGTTGTTCAATGAAAAATAAAAAATAAAAATCAGTCCTTCCTCTGAGGCCCAAGATGGTAGCCAACTTTTAAACTCCAGTTTCTGTATCTACACCAGTCCTATGATCGGGAGGTACTGGGATTTGGAGAAGTCTGGCATGGAAGCCACCCCTCCACGCCCCCAAACCATGTGTCCTCCCCACAATCTTTATGCAAAGACCTCATCAATAATTTTCTTTTTTATATTAATGAAAGTTCTCATCTGTGTGCTCTAGTGGGAAGGTGTAAAATTTTGATACTCCTTGCAGAGCTTCATTTTACAGAATCCCAATGATTTACTTATCAAAATTTTTATTGAACACCCACTAAGTGCCAGGCATTGTGTCCAAGAGGCCATGAAACAACGGACAAGCGTGACTTGTGCAATTGACAGTGAAGATTCCTGATATTTATTTATTCCTAGCTTTAGTCGACAGCCACAAAGCCAGGGCCACCAACTACTCTACACTGCCCCACATTTCGCAGGACATGCCTGGGTTGCAGTAGTCACTTAGAATTCTCAGAGTTTGGGGCCTGGGAGATATCTCAGTGGAATAAGTGCTTGCCTGACAAGCACAAGGCCCTGAGTTCGATCCCTGGTACCACAAAAAGAAAAAAGACAAGACAAGAAGAAACTTACGAATATCTGGGCCGCCAAGATAGCTCAGCGGACTAAAGCCGGGCTTCAATTCCCAGCATGCCATGGCAGCTCCGCCTCCGGGGCACGCTAAAACAGGGATTGTGACTGGGCATGGTGGCGTAAGCCTGTAATCCCAGCGCTTGGGAGGCTGAAAACAGAAAGGTCACTATGAGCCTGATCTGTGTAATGAGACCCTGTAGATTCTGTACCAAATATATTTTAAAAAAAGAAATTCTCAGAGTTTCATTTCATTAATCTCCCAGGTAAAAATGTTCATCTAATTAGATGATATTCTACTTACATCCACAAGGTGGAGACCTTGCTTATAGTTTGCCCAGGCTGAAAGGGCTACATTAAAAAAAAAAATCTAGAACTTAAACCAAAATATAAAAATTAAATTCAATTTATTGAGCCCTTAGCATAATAATAGGTGGTAAAATAAATATAAATATTATAAGATATACTACCTGCCCACTAGGGAAAGATAGGGGGAGGGAGGTTGCCCAGGACAAGAATATAAACCTTTTAATGAATTAATATATTTTGATGTATCTATCCATATGGGAGCCACTGTAATCCCTTCATCAGATAAGCGATATAAAAAGACATGCTATAACTACCATGTAGTTCAGAACAGATTCAACAAAGACCCTACACTTCAGCTTCTAGGTACTTTCTACACCACTAGAAACCCATGAAAATATACACACTGGTTAGTGCAGAAAGGTCCCCAATGGGTTCTTTTCTGATGCCGGTGCTCAGCAACAAACATTAGCATGTCTTCCCAAGAACTGAGAGCATTCATTCTTTGGAGAATGAACTACATAATGCCAGCTGATACAGAAGCATCTTTAACACACACCTACACCTGATGGGAGATAAAAGGAGAGAAAAGAAACATGTGTAAGGAAATAAATTCGAGCCATTGATTCTCAGTGGTGGATTCCACTCTCATTCCACCCGTGAGGTTTAGATCACTCACATGTGGCACTCAGGGGAGAGGGCTCCTTAGCCTCCTAGGGATGTCCTGCTGGACTGAACCTAAGGTTTGCTGGAAGATAAGTGGGGGACTTGGTCTTGCTCTTCCATCCCCTCCCCACCATTACTTTCTCCTGTATCATTAAAACAGTAGGTCAAATGCAACATAGGGTTGCTATTTGTTTGCATTTAACTGAAAATTCCAGTTGGAAATAAAATGACTCAGAGATAGTTTAAATTCTGATAATGCTGACTATATACCCAGAACTTCTTGAAAAAGAGATAATCAAGCAGCATGCGACCAGCAGAACTGGGTGTGCCGTTTGGCTTCTCTACTTGCCAACTGGACGATGCTGAGAAAGCCTCACCCCTTACCCGTGCCTCAGTTTCCTCGTGAAGAAAATGCCTTTTTTTCAGAGAAGCTGTCTCTGATGTCCCTCTTCCCAACACATCCCAGGCTAAAACGTTCTCAGCAACCTAAACCTGTCACTGAGCATAAGCCCCGTGAGAACCGGAACCCAGATCTGTGAACCTCACCGCTCCAGACTAAAGCCGGAGCAGGTCTCTTTGTTGAATAAACCCACGAGAGATGCGCTGTTTGCACCGCTAGGTTTAATTCCCGTGAGTCCTTCGGGCAGGCGGGACAGCCAACCTCAGAGCACAGGAGCCCACAGTGACCCAGGTACGAGCTAGGAAAGAAAGGGTGTCCTTTCAAAGTTGTTGGCTACAGATGGTTCCCCACCCAGCGGGAGTCACATCTTCTAGGGCCCGAAGAGGTTCCCGGGAATTTACATAAAGCAGCGAAAAGCAAAGGGACACGCCCTGATTTCCGCCTCGAAGAGCCTGAGCGCTGCGCTGTAGGTGGGGGTCTAGGTGAAGTTTGCAGATTTGGAACTGCCCAAGCCTAGGGACTCAGCTGCCGCCCCACCCCAGCGAGGCCTAGGATCGCGTCTCTCCCGCCCAGCCGCAGACTCAGACTCCGGTCGCCCCCACCGCAGCCCCTGCGTGGGCGCCGCCAGCCGGGCTTCTCCTGGCCCCTAAGTCCCCAACCGGGTGTGGGGCCGCCTCTCCCTCCTGGAAGGATCCATCGCCGCTTTAAGGGGAAGAGGAGGAGAAGGGGCGGGGGAGCTGGGGGCGGGGAGCGGTGGCGGCGGAGGAGGGGGAGGGGGGGTGCCCCGCGCTCCCACGTGGTCCCGGCGCCTGTGAATCGCGCCCGCCTGAGGGTCTCACAGCGAAATACAAAAGCAGCTGGGAAGCGGCGGCGAGACGAGTTCCCAGCGCCGGGCAGAGCGCCGGACCGAGCCCCGCAGCGCTCCGCAGCCGCGATGGGGCTCAGACGCCCGAAGACCCGGAGCCCACACGCTGCCGGGCCTGCCTCGCCACCCGGACCCGGGCGCCCGCGCTCGGATTGAAGCGGCGGCGGCCGCCGCGGGAGCATGGGGAGGAGGATGCGGAGCGCCGCCGCCTCCGCGGGGCTCTGGCTCCTGGCGCTGGGCTCGCTACTGGCGCTGTGGGGTGGGCTCCTGCCGCCGCGGACTGAGCCTCCGGCCTCCCGACCACCGCCAGAAGACCGGCGACTACCTCGGCGTCCAGTCCGGGGTGGCCGCCCCGCGCCCGCGCCTCGCTTCCCGCTGCCCCCGCCCCTGGCGGCGTGGGACGCCCGCGGCGGCTCCCTGAAAACTTTCCGGGCGCTGCTCACCCTGGCGGCGGGCTCGGACGGTCCGCCCCGGCGGCCCGCAGGCGAGCGCAGGCGGCACGTGCCCTCCCGGCGGCCGGGGCTGGCGGAGCGCGCGGCGGTGCGCGGGGGCGTCTTCTGGAGCCGCGGTTTGGAGGAGCAGGTGCCCCGGGGCTTCTCCGAGGCCCAGGCGGCGGCGTGGCTGGAGGCGGCGCGTGGCGCCCGGGTGGTAGCTTTGGAGCGCGGGGGCTGTGGGCGCAGCTCCAACCGGCTGGCCCGCTTTGCCGACGGCACCCGCGCCTGCGTGCGCTACGGCATTAACCCGGAGCAGATCCAGGGAGAGGCCCTGTCCTACTACCTGGCGCGACTGCTGGGCCTCCAGCGCCACGTGCCGCCGCTCGCCTTGGCCCGCGTGGAGGCTCGGGGCGCGCAGTGGGCGCAGGTGCAGGAGGAGCTGCGCGCAGCGCACTGGACCGAGGGCAGTGTGGTGAGCCTGACGCGCTGGCTGCCCAACCTCACCGACGTGTTGGTGCCCGCGCCGTGGCGCTCGGAGGACGGCCGTCTGCGACCCCTGCGCGACGCCGGGGGTGAGTTGGCTAATCTCAGCCAGGCGGAACTGGTGGACCTCGTGCAATGGACCGACCTGATCCTCTTTGACTACCTGACAGCCAACTTCGACCGACTTGTGAGCAATCTCTTCAGCCTGCAATGGGACCCGCGCGTTATGCAGCGTGCGACCAGTAACCTGCACCGCGGTCCCGGCGGGGCGCTAGTCTTTCTGGACAATGAGGCGGGCTTGGTGCATGGCTACCGAGTGGCAGGCATGTGGGACAAGTACAACGAGCCGCTGTTGCAGTCGGTGTGCGTGTTCCGAGAGCGCACGGCGAGGCGCGTCCTGGAGATGCACCGCGGTCAGGACGCGGCGGCCCGGCTGCTGCGCCTCTACCGGCGCCACGAGCCTCGCTTCCCCGAGCTGGCCGCGCTCGCCGACCCTCACGCTCAGCTGCTGCAGCGCCGCCTCGACTTCCTCGCCAAGCACATTTTGCACTGCAAAGCCAAGTACGGCCACCGGCCGGGAACCTAACATCCTTCCAGGAAGAAAGATTCAGACTGGGCTATGGATGATGGGAGAAGGGCTGTCACCTGTGCCGACGCCTGGGACCAGCTGGCCAATGCTCAGCCAGTAGCCCCGGGCACGAAAGTGTCTAAAAACTTCTGTATCACCTACCTGCCCCTTTCTTTTAATCCCACGCTGTTTCTTTCAAAGCCTGGGAGGGCAAACTTATGAGGCGAGAAACGTTAACATTCCCTCTACCCAGTCTATAAAAGGATTATTTCCGAGGTTGGCCGGGAGATCGGATCCGGAAAAAATAGGCTGCTGGCGCTTTGCCCCTGCCCGGGTGGCTCGCCCAATGAGAACTGCGCCTCCTTCTTGGGACACCCACTCCCACTCCCATTCCAAAAAAGGAAATCTTCCGTTTGACCTTGAGCTAATTTTGCAATTTCCTACCAAATGCTGCACTGGTGGCCCTGGAGCAGGGCTGTGACATTGGCTGGTGGAGCCCCCTTCCTGTGTTCTCGCTTTGTTCCTGCGCCGCGATGGTGAGATCACTGTTCAGAGCCGTGGACAGCCCCAGTAGTACAAAGAGAGCAAGACCTTCAAACCCTGGGGAGCCCTACAGACCCTGATGGTTTGTCTGACTCATTCCTGACCTCCTGCTCCACTGGTCCTGAAGGCTGTGAATTCAGGCCTGGCTGTGAGCACCTGATCAAATAATGAGTTGTTTCTCCCTGCCCCTCCCAGCTGACCAAAATTTTGACAATGATGATGTTGAGGAGGAAGAAAAAAATCAGTTCTGTGCACTTTACTTTGTTTTTATTTTAATTTTTTATTAAGAAAAACTTTTTTATTTGACAGAATTTGCCTTCTTTGTATATATGAGCATAAAGTGTGGTGTAAATATACTAAACAAACTTATATTTCAATAAAAGGGAGTTTAAAATTTAGAACTTAACTCCTGTGGTTTTATCTGGTAAGTATCTGATTCCTCATTTGCTTTTAAAATAAGCTTTAGTTTTTCTCCTGTGTAAATGTGGCTGCCCACTTCAGTAGTAAGGATCGAACCTAGGGCAGTTTGCACTGAGCCACTTCCCAGCCATTTATTTATTTAGATCCAGGATCTTGCTAAGTTGTCACAGCTGGGTTTAAGCTTACTATCCTGCCTCAGCCTTCTGGAGTGCTGGGATTACAAATGTATGCCTCAACCACATCTGACTTCTCTGTTCTTTTCAAACAAGGGCTGCAGACCCACCTGGACTGTGATAGGAACTTACAGCACTGAACAAGGACAGAAGCTGTCTCAAGTCCCTTTCAGATAAACCCTAGGGCTGGACATTTGAGGTCAATCCAGCATGCAGGGGGAGGTAGGAGGAAAACCAGGCAAATAAAATGGAAAGACTTTCATTGTCATATATTCCTATACTAAGCATTTGGCAAATATGACAGAACCAGATGTGTGGGCTAGCCTATGACAAATTGCCCCCTCTTAAACTTGAACTGCAGTGGCCACAAGCTGCACATTATTTTCAGCTTCCTAATTACCATGCATCACAATGTAAATATTAAGCTGAACACGCATTGCAAACAGGTAGAGCAAGCCATAAATTATTTAATCTGCCATAAATGCCATTGCATTCAAAAGATCATAATCTCCCAACATCTGGATTCATCTGATCCTCTAAAAAGGTACTATTTTTTCCAAGTAGTAGCTGCATGATCCCCTCAGAGGCAAAGTTCTAAAGCCAAGAAGGTATACTTTTTACCTGACCTTTGAATCCTTCTTTAGGAACTACAAACTTAGAAAATAGTTTTGAATTTTGTTTTACAGTCCCATTGATATTCTGTGTTGGCATCTTAGTTGGTATCTGAGCCCAAATGATCTTGCCTATTTTTATTATTAATGACCTTTAACTCAAAGCAATTTTTGGTAACGGCTTTTGACAGTTTTTTATTTGACTTGCACTTATAAACTTGGAGAGTTTTAAAGACTGGGAAGATATGAGAGGTCTAGGCTTCCTCCTCACTCAGCTACAATGTAATGTGTGATTTAACTGTTTATTGCCATCTTCATATTATCAGTGCTTTATGCCAAGTCAAATCTTACCTGGAAAAAAAAAATACAGTCCTGAAGCTGTTTGTGGTTAAACCCAGTTGTTTTGTAGGATAGCCACAGAATGTACAATTAGGGCAGATGTTACCTCGTTTTCAAGACCTCTGTTTTAATTACACCTTCCAAAAACATTTTCACATGAACCTCATGGCACATGTCTGTAATCCTAGCATTCAGGAGGCTGAGGCAGGAGGCTGGCCAAGAGTTTGAGGTCAGTGTAGACTACATAGTGAGTTCGAGGCCAGCTTGCACTACAGAATGAGATCTTGTCAAAAAAACACAAAATGCATTTCCCAGTTCTGATGATTAATGACTAGCATTTGCTGCTTTGGTTAATGGAGACTGCTCCAAGTAAAAGCAACCTATGGGGCATTTTAATTCAAGTTCCCTGCTCATCTAGGAGACAATGAGCAGAAACAAAGAAGTTTCACACTGTGCAGGAAGCATGCTCCCCGACTATCGACTATCGCAGTTCCGGCCCTGTTGAGATCTGGGCTAACAGCATTCTCTGCATTCCTCCTGTTCCTTAGCACCAAGCCCAGACTTGACCATGGCTAACCAAGAGTGAGAAACTGGGCATAATTGAAATGGCTCTTCTTGGGCTCTTTAGTGAACCCTATCTGCCTGTTGGAGAAATAAGTTTAATTACATGGTGGAGTTGTTAAGGGAACCAAGACTTAATTACAGAGAATCGGCTTTAACTGTTGCTATTCCTTGTGGGTTGTCAGTAGGCTGTGGCACAGAAAGACCAATTAAGGTTTTGCCATGGTCGGTGAACGCTGCTGGAGACAAATCATTTTTTTTAAAAAAATAGTGCCTTTCAGGCTGCAGCGTGATTTGGGAAGAATAATGGGTTCTGCAGGCAGACTGTACTCAGAATTCTGTCCCTCACCTATTTACCATCATCAGCAAATCATTTAACTTAGTTCCCTCATCTGTGAAATGGAGATTCGATCAGAGTATTATGGGATTTAAATGTTAACGTATAAAACACACAGGCACATAATAGTTACCTCCAAAACACAAAAAACCCAAACTCACCTCCTACTCCACTTTCCTTCTTATACTCAGTAAACTTCTACTAGTGTTCTTGGTCGAAGTCAAATCTCGCTGTTCTCAAGGTAGGCTTGGCTTTTGACGTGTGTTTTAAGTGTCCCCACAAGTTATTTATTGAGCATCCCCTTCCGCCAGTACAGAAGGGACTGGCTTGTTGAGCCAAGGGCACAGGTTTGATCTCCACGTGGATGTCAGTGGTTGATTTCAGGATCCCAGCCGACTCCACGCACCCAGACAGCTGTACTATACTACAGAGATATGTGGGAGATTTAAAAGAAAAGGAAAAATTAGATGGCTCGTTGCAAATCCATCAATGCTTCTGGAAAGCATCATAAAGTGATGAATCTTCACGAGGGTGATCCTCTTCCCCATCCCTTCTGCCAAGAGAAAGTAGGCAGCTGCCCTTTTCTCCCTGGATTTGACTGTTGATGAATTCGCTCTGTCAATGGCATAGTTCTAAATTCTATTAAGCGTACTCTTCCCCCTGTCTTTGAAGCAGAAAGAAAAACGAATAATTTCAACACATCTCAATACTTCTCAACCTTCAGACTATATCTGCAGCGAGGAGAGTCCTCCAGAGCCTGTAGGTTGATTGTACTGATTAAATGAGTAAATATTTATGATATCCTCAGAAGGCTTCCTGGCACATAGTAAATGCAGTATAAATGGGTGTTTATTGATGGGGTAAGTCATTCTTTCTCTAAATGAAAGGCAGAGGCACCTTGAATCCAGGGCAGGATCTCTTCTCATAATCCAAATCTATCACTGCAGTTACAGAACACTTTTTACATGCTTCTGTGTGGGCTCAGGAAGATCAGCTCGAGTCCATAAGTCTGGTAGGAATTACCTAGAGCCCACAGTTGTCAGCTGGTTATCTTGTTTCTGGAAATGCCGTCTGTGGTCATATGTACCTCCCACTAGTTCGCAAGGAGGCTATAATTCTGTCACTAAAGTGGCTCATCTGATTCAGGGAGCAGGGAGCTCAGGAATTTTGCACCCTCCTGGGCTATAGGTGAATCATGGATCAGTCAAGCCTGGGTATTTCCCTCCTCGAACATCTGCCCTGATTCCAGAAGATAGAGGGATGGTGGGACGTTTAGAGGAGAAAAGGAGTCCAGCAGAAGCGCAGCTGCCAAGATGGTACAGAAATGCACAGGATCGAGGTTGATATATGTGGGTGGGAGGAGTTTAACGGAAAGGGTTCTGGAAGTGAGGAGACGCAGACCGCTCCTGACTGGCTCACGGTGGGACTTGAGAAAGTATTTCGCTTCCCCTGACTCCAGTTGTTTTATTGGAAAAGGAATTTGTTGATTAGCTAGATAATTGGCCAGAGCTCATAGTTGGACACATGCTTTGCATTGTGACCCAGGACACACAAACACACACACACACACACACACACACACTGGAAACAAAAGTTGCAGGAAACAGTATGTACAGCACATTTTTTAAAATTCCATCTTACCCTATTCTACCTCCTCTTTTGTATCCTAATGCTGGTTGTGACCCTAAATTGATTCCACAACTTAACAGTGGGTTCAGCCTCCTCTCTGCAGAACACTGGCTTGTGTGGTCAGCAAGTTTCCTCCCAGCTGTGATTCTGGGGAAATTCTGCTTATAACCAGATTGCCACTCACCAAAGTTTTTCCCTGTAGAAGGAATACAAACAGGCTTCAATTTTGTGTGCTCTTAAAAACAAAAGACTGCTGGGGCTGGTGAGATGGCTCAGTGGTCTATAGCGCCTACTTAGAATAAGCTTAGCAAAGCACAGGGACCGCAGTTCAATCCCCCAGCACCACATGCCAGCCAGCCCCGCCCCCTGGTGGGCTGAGCTGGCTACACACACACA